ACTTTGCACTCGTCGGAAAACAGCTTCTTTCTGTACTTGTTGCACAATATACTATTTTATCATTTTTTTTAACAAAAATTCCATATTCCGACATAATTATCTCCAAAACAATTGCCTATGGGAGGTTGCTACTAGAGACTTTTTTTCTCGTCTTACCATCATCTACAACTTTGCTGTTGACAACTTTTCACTAAACCTAAAACTTTTCGACTTATTTTCAAAAAACTAATTTTTTATTACATTCTCATCACATGAGAAAGTATTAGTTTTGGTCGAAAATCGACTTTCGCTAATTTCATGAAATCTCGACGTTTTGGGGTCCCCTGAGTCCAAAAGCATGGTCTAAAAAAAGTGTCTGTCTGTATGTCTGTCTTCGTGTCTGTCTGTAGACACAATGGTGTCGCCACGATAACTTTTGAAAAACTTATTGTATTAACTTGCAACTTTGCAAGTACAAAGTTACTGTTAAAATACAGATCGAGTTCGTTTGCCAGCCATTTTCGTCGAAAACTACACAAACTACAGTAGTTTCAAAATTTTCAAAATTCAATTTTTTGGCTGGTCTGACTCTTTTTAACATTTCAATTTTTGGTCCTATCTTGTTGGAAATGGTTTTTTACATTCTCATCACATAAGAAGGTATTAGATTTGGTGAAAAATTGACTTTTTATACCTCAGGCACAAAATAGGCTCTTTTAGATAGCAGCCAAAAGGAACTAAAAGCCATTCATTTGTCCACTTGAATGAAAATGGCGACCTTTTTTTCCCATGGGCAAAAAAAGCAGCTAGTCCCATGCGTTATTTTTGCTCATGGAAAAATTTTCATACAAGTCGAACAAGTGAATGACTTTTACTCCCTGTCGTCTGCTATCTTAAATCGCCACTTTTGTGCCTTTAGAATAAAAAATATCGTAAGTAACACGGGACTTAAAGGCTGCCTTTACTTACCTTGTTGCTTACTATACTACTTACTTACTTTATACTATTTGCTTATTTTATGAAATCTTTTCGTTTTGAGGTGCACTGAATCCAAAAAACATGGTCCGGCGATTACGTCTGTCTGTTGGTCTGTCTGTCTGTCCGACAATAACTTTTAAAAAACTTAATTTTTTAAAAAACTTTTTTCGAATTTTTGACTTTTTGTCTCATCTTAGTGGAGGTGATTTATTTTTGCTTGTTAAAACGACGGGTAAATTTTGGAGTATTGTTTTTATTTTCTTAGTTCAAAATTTTTTTTGAAATGCTGTGCTATTTATTATTATTTTGTTCTAATTTGGGTATCCTACCTTTGCTTTGCTTACAATTTCTAAGCAAAGAATACACGTTAATACCTGAAGTAATGCTCATACTGTTGAAAATGACCTTTAAAATAAGAAGAGAATCTTGAGAAAACGTTTTCTATTTTATAAGTTATTCAAATATTTGTATAGCATTAAAAATGGCGATTTTTTCAAAATCTCTAAGTGAATTTCTTGTTTAAGCTCAAAATAACATATAATAACAATATTTGTTAATATATTTAATAAATTATGTAAGAGGCGCGTTCTGCCGGAAGGTCTTACCGAAAGTTTAGGCGCTTGGACGTTCATTCAAAAAAATCATGTAGAAAATTTATCTAATTGTTCATTTTTAAATCTTCAGTAAATTTAAAGTTTTTCTTATAACAATTAAACTATCACATTCACTGTATCCGGATTTACATGTTTTTAATCATACATTTGATATATATTTACAAATAACGTATATAAGGGGAACGGGACATACTGGCTAAGGGATGTAATAAATAATTGTAATTTATTTAAAAATCGTAAATCGAAATGACTTCGCTCCAAAGACAACTTGATGTACTGCAAGTTTCCACAAAGTTTAATTATTTATTATTCAATCACTATTGTAAGAAATATAGTAGATAAACTGTATTTCACATATGACAGTAACTTTTCAAAATTTTCATTTTTGCTTTCTAATTTTTTTAAAATAACTTTAAAAAATAAACTAAAATCGCGTTTCAAGCTTGAAACATTTTTTTAGAGTCAATTTGAGATTTTTGATTCACACTTACTGTATTGATAAAAATTACAAAATATTTCCCAAGTACCCCTAGGGCGTGTTGGCTAATGCAACACGCTATGCATAAAGAGCAACCTACGATACCGACGAGGTGTACGTTCATTGTAGAAAAAAGTAAGAGTAATATAGGGACATTCGTTTTTTTAAAAGAAAGCTGAGATACCAGAGTAACGTTTCTAGGAGATAAACACTTAATTAAAACAAAAATGTCCGAGTAAATCAACAAAGAGTGAAAAGTTAGCCATTACGCTCCGGTCTACATTACACAAAAACCTTAATACTAATACTTTAAGAATATGTTATCTGCTTCTGCAAATCATGTTTCTGATAAGAGAGTTAGTATAATTAAAAATAACTTCACAATTTTAATCATCAAGACCAAAAATATACATTTTAATCCACTTAATCTCGCAATAATCAGCAAACAAAAACATGTGATGAGAATGTAATCCTTAAAGTCGTAGTAACTTTAAGAAAAAAAAATGTTTTATGAAACATATAATAGGAAACAAGAACAAGAACACAAATAATGCACAACAATTGCAGACCGCCGCGAGAGAAGCGAGCCATTTGCGCGCGAAGCGCGCAACAACACATGGAGCGCGAAGCGCGACAATCAATATTTGCGCGCCCCGAGGCGCGCTGAAACTTGCGAACGAAGCGAGCCCCTGCGCAAAGCGCGGATGAGAATGTGTCCGCGCTTGCGCGGACAGATTTTTTTAACTTTAAACCTCTCTCTTGCTGTGTGTAAATAATGCTTTTACTTCATGCTTTTAATTTTTCAATTTCACAAGAAAGTCTTGAATATGTTTATATATATGTTGTGGACAAAGTCCGGAGAGCACTTTTGGACAAAGTCTGAAATACTGTTATTTTATTGAACAGCAAGCTTGTCGCAAGCTTGCAGTGCAAGATTTGCAATATTTCCGTGAAAGCTTGCGACAAGCTTTCGCAAGCTTCAAATGTCTGCAGCATAGGAACCTTCTCATGAAAGCTTACATGACAATTTTTTATTATATAAAATTAATAATTTATTATTAACAACAAATTTTTATTTAATATTTAATTTTTATTTAATATAACACAATTATAACAACTTTATAATAAAAATGTTATTAATTAGGTCAAAAGAGAGGCCCTACTAAATCTACAAATTTCTTGACACCCTATGAAGTTAGGTCAAAATTTAGGTCAAATTTAATCTATTTATTTACCTATAGGTTAATACAGGTCAAAAGAGGCTTCATTAAGGTACTACTACACTTTAGAAGGCTCTTAAAAGGCCAAATTAAAAAAAAAATTTCTTAGGTCTTTTATTATAAATATGAAAAAAACTTTTTTGCCTATATTAGTACACATTTGGAGAATAAAAATAATGGTTTGTTTTTAATTCTTATTTAATATCATAATCTGCACATGGAGAGACCCACATTTGTAAAAATTACTAAAAATAGTTGCAATGAACGGAAATAAGGGGACTTTTATCATAATGTACTACAGAAATAGATAAATTTACAAAAGAAATAGATAAATTTGCTACATTGAAATATCAAGTTTTAATATTTTGTGTAAGAGTTGTAAATGTAGCGAAAATTGATTATAGTTTTATCTAATTTCATTAGACAAAATCTGACAAATGAAAACATTTTCAACTAAAACCTACTATCCACTGTAGTAATTTTTGGTGAGCAAGTGTGGCTAGCGAGTGCAGTCATATGGTGCCTGCATTTCTATTGGTTGCTAACTTCGTCAATCTCCGTAAATGAACCGATGCCAGTCTCGTTTTTATACGAAATGTCCCGATTACATCCGATCATTGACAGTGACTATGTTTCGCGTATGTAAAATAGATTTGGATATTATCCTTAATATAAATCCTCCTCCTTAATATGAAACGAGTAGATATGCAAATTAGTTAAAGAGAGACATTCTTATTTATATTGCCAAAATAGATTTGGATATTATCCTTAATATAAATCCTCCTCCTTAATATGAAACGAGTAGATATGCAAATTAGTTAAAGAGAGACATTCTTATTTATATTGCCTTTAGAAAAAGAGAGAAACCAGAGCCGGCGTTACTGGCGCCGTTACCCAGACGTTACCTATTGTGTTTTAATTATAAAAGTATATATATATATATATATATATATATATATATATATATTGACTTTTATCTATAGTTTTTCTTGCGATGGAGGAAGAAAGAAAATATTATTACCTGGGTCCCTCATTTACAAAGGCAATAGCCTTTTTTTCAATTTTATTGTTCAAGGGTTCGTATTGTTTGTGGTAATCCTTCGTAGGGTCTAATACAGGTCTAATATATATATATATATATATATATATATATATATATATATATATATATATATATATATATATATATATATAATATACATATATTTGACAATTAAACGAACTTACCTCAGTGAAGTTCAATTGTAATTATATGAGACGTCTCGTTCGAATAGATCATTACGTAGTCACACTCGTGCTGCTTGATTTGACCACAGATATTTTAAAGCTATAATTCAAAAAATTAAGCTTCTTGGCGCGCTAACCCTACCTATATGGCGCGGCCTACTTCCGTCTTCATTACTTTAAAGTTGGAAAATTGCGAAATGTATGAGGGAACTTTTTTAAAACAGGGTAGGGAGGGACTGATCTATTCGAACGAGACGTCTCATATAATTACAATTGAACTTCACTGAGGTAAGTTCGTTTAATTGTCAATTATATTTCGTCGTCTCGTTCTTCTAGATCATTACGTAGATGTTTAAAGAAAATAACATTTCGCGATTTCTGTATATTTTTAATCAAACTTTTATTAAATTAGAATAAAAGTGAACATAAGAACATAATTTTGAACATAGTTTTGAACGTAAAAACATATTTAAACAGGATAAAGTACTAAACACTAATTATTTGTTAATATCGCTTTTGCGTAATTAGTTTTATCGATAATCGGACGTTTATAAAATAAGGCGAAGACTTTGGAATTTGCTGTCCACCCAGCGGTTTGACGGATGGTGTCGATGTTGATACCATGCCTTTCAGCCGCTGATGTGGATGCATGTCGAGTACTGTGCGCTTTGAAAATGGATGTATCTATTCCACTTTTTATTAAAATAATCTTTATCCATCGAGCTAAGGTCTGGCTGGTTGCCGCTCTCGTAGGCTTTTTATAAGTAAGAAAAAGTTCATTGATATTATTTCTGATTTCGTTTGTACGTTTAACGTAGGTTTTAAGAGCGGAGGCCACACAGATTTCTGGATTTTCTTTGAAAAAAGGAAGCGTTAAACATGGTTGCGATCTATTAACTTTTGTAGTTTTGATTTTATCAGGGATTTTAATTTGAATAAATTCCTCACTTTCAATTATATTATCCACGCAAATTTTTGAAATTGTTTGAACTCTTTGAGAGGTAGCTAAAGCGATTAATACAACTAATTTTTGAGTTAACGATTCTAACGATAAATTTTCATTTGGATAAGAATTCTTTATATAATTGAGGACTATTTGAGGATCCCACGTAAGATCGTATCGCGGTTTTTGCGGTTTCATATTTGATACCCCTTTAAAAAACCGGGTCATCAAAGGATCAGAAGTAATGTCTGTCATTAATATAAGAGACACTGCTGACCGATAGGAATTTAAGGTACCGTACGATCCTACGTTAGGTAGAATATTTGCCAAAAAATCTATAACGGTGGTAGCGTTAGCATTGAACATTGAAATATCTTTTTCCTTGCAGTAAAGCCACCATAATCTCATAGGCTTCTCATATTGCTTAATTGTCGACGAAGATAATGACCGTAACATTAGTTCAATCCCTGATTCTGGAACTCCTTTCTTGAGAAAAGCTTCCCTGATAAGCTCCCTGCCACCAGGGTAAGTTTGTTGGCTAGAGGATGGCGTTTTCTGGAAAAACAATTTAATAAATCCATTTTTGGGCCTAGAAAGAGAGGTTTTTTATTTAATAATTCTAAGAACAGGGGGTACCAAGCCTGAGTTGGCCAAAAAGGAACTACTATAACACCATCTGCTCTGTCATCAATTACTTTTCTAAGGACTCTTAACACTAGGGAAAAGGGAGGAAACGCATAAAAATAATCATTTGCCCAAGAAATCGTAAAGGCGTCAATAGCCAAAGACTCGGGATCTCTATACCAAGAAATGAAGCGATCACATTTTTTATTGGTATAACTTGCGAAGAGATCAATATCAAAATTTCCGAAATTTCTCACGATTTGTTGAAAATATTTTTCGTTCATTTCCCATTCAGTTTCCGGTGCTAGGAGGCGAGATTCTTTATCCGCAATTGTATTATCTTTCGACTTTATATACGAGGCAAAGATCCATAAATTTCTTGCTTCGCACCATTCCCAAATTTGTCTAGCTGTATTATTCAATTTTTTATATTGCACGCCACCCATCCGATTTACATAAGAGATGGCAGTGGTATTATCAACGCGAAGTAAGATATGACACGATCTAAGATTTTTCGCAAAACATTTTAAACTATTAAATACTGCTTTTAATTCCAACAAATTAATATGCTCTATTCTTTCATCTAGATTCCACCAACCGTGTGCTTTTTCTCCTTGACAATAAGCCCCCCAACCTGTTAATGACGCGTCTGAATATATTTCTAGTTTAAAATGCGAAACTCGGATAGGATTTTTTATATGAGGGATATTTTTAATCCACCAGTCTAAATCATTTTTAGTCTCATTCGAAATTATTATATAGTCTTCATAGTCTCCTTTGGATTTTTCTAGTGCTAAGAATTTTTGTCTCTCCATTACTTTAGTATAGAGCCACCCGTATTTTACACCCGGACACGCTGCAACAAGAACACCGATGCAATGAGCTAATTCTCTTATACGACACTTCGCTTTAAGTTTTAAACTTCTTGCTAGATTATAGATTTTTTGTCTTTTTTCTTGAGTAACTTCTATTGTGAATTGAGAACTATTTAAAATGAACCCTAAAAATTTACATTCATGAGAAGGAGTTAAATTAGATTTTTCGAAATTTATTATAAAACCAAGTGATTCTAAGGTTTCTTTAGTTTTCTTTAAATTAAAAATACATTCTTCTTTTGACCTTGCTATTAAAAGAATGTCATCTAAGTAGATAACAGATAATAGTCCTTCACTTCTCAACTTTTGTGCTACTGGTTTTAACAATTTTGTAAATACGTAGGGTGCAGTGCATAAACCAAAGGGTAAGCAATTAAATTCATATAATTTTTCGTTAAACTGAAAACGAAGAAATTTTTTATATTTTTCTGATATTGGTACCAATAAAAATTCGTCCTGTAAATCAATTGAGGCCATGTAACAGCCCGGTGTTATTAGTCTAGAAGCTACTTTTAAATCTTCTAATTTAAAATGAGGGGCTTTTATAAATTGATTTAAAGGTTTCAAATTTAAAATAAATCTTTTCTTGCCATTAGGCTTATCTACAAGAAAATATGATGAGATAAATTGATTTTTACAAGGCTTACACTCTCTTATACTACCTTTAATTAATAATTCATTTACTGCCGATAAAAAATATTCAAAATCTGTTTTTGTGAAAATAGGTGGATCTTTTTCTTTTAACTGAAGCACTTTTTCAGAAAAAGGGATTTTGTAACCTTCTACATACTGTAGAATTATTTTATCATTTGTAAGTTTCTTCCAGAAATCAATGAAATACTTTAACCTTCCAGAAACCATTTTTACCTCTACATTTTGTTGCGTCGATACGGTTGTTGCGCTTGGGTCCGGTTGTTCCTTGGCCCGTCCCAACGACCCCTCTGGTTGTTGTAATTCCGTCTGGGAGGGCCTCTGAAGTTTGACGTCTTCGATGATGAATGCGATGACTTTCTGAGTTGAGAACTTTGAAGAGACTTTCCTCTTTTTTGGTTAGAAATTGGGACTGATCTAGCGACATCTCTTCTTTGTCTTTCCACCTCTCTTGCGATTTTTATTCGGTTAGGAAGATCATCACCGAACAATAAATTATTGGAAACAGGGACTCCATCGCTAACATCTTTCACTAACTGGTTTAAGACAGGAGTGATAAAAGAACGCCTTGTCATGGACATACTGTGATGCACGTCAGCGAGCAAACGTCCTGCGTCACTTAAAAAGGCAATGCTTTCCTCGTTTTCGGTTCCACCCTTATTAAGTAATGACGTCAAAGCCAAACTTATAGCATAAATTGACTTTCCTAATTTTTCCTGAGCTATAACCTGAAAATGATCTTTTTTCAAATTGTATTCAGTCAATTTTTGTTTGATTTCAGGATTTATTGAAGGAGATTTGGTAGCAGGAAATTCTTCTGGAAAAGGATATTTATTTGTTAATTCGTCGGTAGTTTTCTTAGAACAACCATTATTTAACATGTGAGACCATTTTTCAATAATGACGTGGTGTACCTTTATAAATTCAGACTTATTTTCGGCAAAATCGTCCCCAAGAATTTTTAACGTGCCTGTACTTAATTGAACGTCGCCTAGAAGAAAATCATCTCTTATTTGACTATTTGTTTTGATAATTTGAGGGTTATTTTCTGTATCATTATCAAGATTTTTATTTGTCGTATTTTTGGGGATATTTTTCGATTGCGAATTATTAGTTTTTTGAGAATTTGTCGTATCTTTCCGATTACGATCAAGAAATTTTGTTGAGTCTGTTACGTCTCGCGGACTGTAATCAGAGTTTGTATAGTATGAAGTATCCGTCACATCTCGCAGATGGCGATCAGATGATTGACTGCTAAAGTCAAATGAAGATTCATGGCGTCTCTTATAACGCTTATAAGAACGATTTTTATGACTTTTAGATCTCGAATATCTTCTTCGGCTTGATCGGGATCTTCTGTCAGCCGATAAATCTCTGCGAGATCTTTTTGATCGTTTCACATATCTATAACTTTCCGAGTCCGATGACGAGAATGAACTTGTCGAAATTTTCCTTCGTGAACGTGAACGCCTAACCTGCTTCTCTTTAGAAGGAGATTTTCTTTCTCGATGATCCTTCTTACCTTTCGAACTACTTTTTTCCGTACTTTCCTTGTCTCTCAAATCACTACCGCCACTACAATTCGACATTTTTATTCGCGAAAAACTAATTAAGAAAGGTAAAAAACTTGGATAAAACGAAAAGACTCTGTGATCAGATCGGCACAGACGATTGTAATGAAGACAGAAGTAGGCCGCGCCATATAGGTAGGGTTAGCGCGCCAAGAAGCTTAATTTTTTGAATTATAGCTTTAAAATATCTGTGGTCAAATCAAGCAGCACGAGTGTGATCTTCTAGAAGAACGAGACGACGAAATATAATGGCCTCAGAATCAATCTACGAGTGCGAAAAGGACACTCAAGCTCAGGGCCTACCACCTAAATAAAAGAACAATTATTTTTTTTTAATTTAAAAATCATATCGTAGATTATTTTCCTTGTGACACGTTCTACGTGTCTTCAATTAAAAAATCTTTATAATTCACTGGTGAATTCACTCACTATATGTGAGTGAGTTAAATAAGTGTTAAATAAGTTAAATAAAAGTTAAATAAGTGAATTATCAATGAATACTTCGTGAATTAGTAAATAGTGATTTAGTAAATAGTAAGTATTAGTAAATATAGTTAGTGATAATAAGTGAATAGTAAATAATAATAGAATTAAATTAAGATACTGTTTTCTAAATTTTTTCAATCATTAAATAATTAATTGAGTTGTGTTTTGTTTTTGGTGTTAATTATTAATAAAGTTAAAAAATTTATTATAATTTTTTTGATGTTTATTAATAAATTACAAATTTTGTTATAGTTTGGAAATCGTCTGTAAATGGATAAAAGGCAAAATTAGAAATTGGTTCTATTGGATAAAAGGCAAAATTGGAAATTGGTTCTATTGGATAAAAACAAAGCTGGAAATTGGTTAAATTGGATAAAAGGAAAAATTGGAAATTGTTTATATTGGATAAAAACAAAGCTGGAAATTGGTTAAATTGGATAAAAAGCGAAATTGGAAATTGGTTATATTGGATAAAAACAAAGCTGGAAATTGGTTAAATTGGATAAAAGGCAAAATTAGAAATTGGTTTTATTAGATAAAAGGCAAAATTAGAAGTTCGTTATATTGGATAAAAACAAAGCTGGAAATTGGTTAAATTGGATAAAAGGAAAAATTGGAAATTGTTAATATTGGATAAAAACAAAGCTGGAAATTGGTTAAATTGGATAAAAGGCAAAATTGGAAATTGGTTATATTGGATAAAAACAAAGCTGGAAATTGGTTAAATTGGATAAAAGGCAAAATTAGAAATTGGTTTTATTAGATAAAAGGCAAAATTAGAAGTTCGTTATATTGGATAAAAAGCAAAATTGAAAATTGGTTCTATTGGATAAAAACAAAGCTGGAAATTGGTTAAATTGGATAAAAGGAAAAATTGGAAATTGTTTATATTGGATAAAAACAAAGCTGGAAATTGGTTAAATTGGATAAAAGGCAAAATTGGAAATTGGTTATATTGGATAAAAAGAAAGCTGGAAATTGGTTAAATTGGATAAAAGGAAATATTAAAAATTATTTATATTGGATAAAAACATAGCTGGAAGTTAGTTAAATTGGAGAAAAGCAAAATTGTAAATTGGTTAAATATTGGATAAGAGACAAAATTGGAAATTAGTTAAATTGAATGAAAGACAAAATTGGACATTGATTATATTTGATACAAGGAAAAATTTCAAAGTTTTAAATAAGGAGAGAGTTGTAAATTTGTTGTTATTTTCTATAAGAGGCAAAATTTGGCAACATTGTATAAAAGGAAATTTTAAAATTTATAATTAAATGTATAAAACTTTATATTAAAATTCTAATGTAGTATTACTATTTTTAAAATTATAATTCCTTGATTTAAGTAAATTTTATAAAATAAAAGAACAATGTCTAACAAAGGAGAAACTGTTAATTCGACTACTCCTGATTTAAGTATTGTTGTCACTGAAGGATCAATGCTAAATAATGATCATATGTATAAATTTCAAAAGCTATTGGGAAGACAATCAAATTTTTTTTTATAATATGCAAAATACTTTGTGTTTACAAACAATTGATTTGATAGTTACAATCGAGAAAAGTAAGCAGCACATTTAAATACTTTTTAGTGGATCTTATAAATCTGGTCATTGGATTTGTAATTATTATGATGGAATAAGCCTTTACATTTTTGATAGTCTTAATAAAAAATGTTTAAATCATGATCAAAGAGACTATTTAATTAGATTATATTCTTTTGAACCACCAGTAGTTTTCACAACTGTTGATCAACAACCAGAATACAGTCTTTCTTATGGAATATATGCAATAGCATTTGCAACATCGTTGTTTTTTAATATTCTGCCCCACTCTGTCAATTACTATTATTGTAATATTAGAAATCATTTAATGTTAATGTTCGAAAGCAATAGTTTATGTAAATATCCCTCTGTACAACTTTCTAATAGTAGATCTTGCATAGTTTACAAAAATTTAATTTGTTTATAAATATTCCGTGTCCTGTAAATTACGTTTATTTGTTTATGCAATTTGTTATTGTTGAAAAAGATCTGGTTACAGTTTCAACCACTCATTCGGTCAGAATCATGTCAGCAGTTTGGGAAACTTTTTTCTTAGCACCTCCGAAGACAGCACATAACTCCGTTATTTTTCAATATTTTTGTAAAAGAAAAATCTTAAAATGTAACTTGAAATATACCTTATTATGTCCGAAATACTTGCAAACATTCTGTCGAGTACTTTCTTTTTAAAAAATTCCCGAAAATCAACTAATTTTTCATAGGTTACACTGGTATAGCCCCTTAAAATCTATAGAAAATATTATGAGAAATTCTAATGCATACACAAAATCTCACATGATGATGTCAGAGGTAATTTAAATAGAATCTGAATTAGCAACACAAATAATGAAGAAATTCCTGAGTTACAATTATTGTTTACGTTGAAAAAAGCTTTGATAAAGATAGATACAATTCTCAAAGTTTTAATGAAGTTGCTGCAATTTTTAATACAAACTCTGAAGGAGAAATACCAGAATCACATAAAACGGTTTATAATAAATCTACAAAGGAATTGAAATTGGTTAGTAATTTAGATCCGAATGTTGAGTCATGGATTTATCCCATATTTTATCCACTTGGAAATAAGGGTTATAATATTAATATGATTCGTAGTGATAGTGATTACAGAATTAGAAATCATACTATTTCTAGGTCTGCCTACATTAAATACAAAATTGCTGTAAGAGATAAAGAATTTGATCAATTTTTATATGGAGGTAGATTG